GGAAATATGTAGTTCTACCTAAAAGTTCTATCTTAATATGATATACAGAGAGTCAGAAGGTTCATGTTTCTTCACATGTAATGATTAGTCAGCATGACCAATTGTGTGCCCTGATAGTAATAATACAGTAATGATAGATCATTGGTAATGATAATAACAATACATTATTATTATTATTATTATTATTATTATTATTATTATTATTATTATTAGCTTTTGTATGCCATCCTATTATACAAGATCTCAGGATGGCTTACAATATTTAAAAGGACAATTAAAATAATAATTTCAATAATAAAACAGAACAATATAATAATATTTATTATTGTAACAATAATAAAACAGAACAAGAATAATAAAACAGAACAAAACAATAGACCAAACAGAGTGACTAAACTTAAAAACTATTAGAGTTTAAAATACTGTTTAAATAAAAAGGTTTTGGCCTGGCACTGAAAAAACTATAAACTTGGCGCCAGGTGTACTTCTCTGGGGAGTACATTCCAGAGTCTGGGCGCCACAGCAGAGAAGGCCCTACTCCAAGTTGATGACCATTTTACCTCTCTTAGAGAGGGTTCCGGGAGTAGGGCTTCTCCCATAGAACTTAAGGGGCGTGAGGGCATATAAGGAAGGAGACGTTCCTTCAGGTATCCTGGTCCCAAGCCGTTTAGGGCTTTATAGGTCAAAACCGGTACCTTGAATTGAGCCCGGACTTCAACTGGAAGCCAGTGGAGCTGGTAGAGGACCAGTGTTATGTGAGAGTAACGGCCAGTCCCCGTCAACAGCCTGGCAGCTCTATTCTGCAGCAGTTGCAGCATTTGGACCATTTTCAAGGGCAGCCCCACATAGAGCGTGTTGCATTAATACATTAATAATAACAATAAGATTAATAATCTCTGTGTTTGAAATGGTATGTTTGGGTGCACATATAGCAGGAACAGCAAAGCAGTGGCAGTCCCCTACATTTATTCATTTATATATAAGTTTACTGGCTAGACTATAAAACTTTCCACTAACTGACACTCTCTGGCAGTGTACAATACATTTTTGTTGTTGCTTAGTGGCATCACATCATCTCTAACTTATGACAACCCTGTCCGAAATGCTAAGCTCTTGTAAACACAAGACTGTGGCTTCCTTTGTGGAATTGATCCATCCCATATTTGGTCTTACTTGTCTTCTTCTGCCTTCAGTTTTCGCTAGCATAATTGTCTTTGGTGAATTGTCCTTAAACTTGATGATCTTTTCTAGTTTCTTCATTACTGTCCTTCTAAGTCTCCAACTGAATTGATGGCTCAGTTAAGATATGCAAAATCTTTCACAATTTCAGTTTCTTCGGTTGTTGACATTGAAGTTGTATAATTCTTCTGTAGCTATTATTTTTCTTTTTTTAATGTTCAGCTGGAGTCCTGCCTTTGCACTTTTCTTCTTTCATTGTTATCAGGAATTGTCCTAAATTATTGAATTATCATCTACCAATTTTCAGTCCTGCTTCCTTTGCTCCTAATCCACCTTTCTATTTGATATGTTCTGTGTACAGACTGAACATTTAGGGAGATAAAATACACCATTGTCTGATGCCTGTTCATACAGGAAACCATTCTGCTTCTTCTGATTCCACCTTAACAGTAGCTTCTGGTCCAAGATAGAGGTTGCACATTGGGACAATAAAATGCTGAGGCACCCCCATTTCTTTCAAAACCATCCATAGCTTCTTGTGATCTGCACAGACTAAGGCTTTGCTCTAGTCTGTAAAGCACAGACTGATTTTCTTCTGATTTTATTTTTAAAACATAAAATACAAAACATAAATCAAAGAATAAATGCACAGAATAAAAACATTAATGTCTTTGTTGATACTGTGTGTGTATAATATGCAATTTAGATCTTTGTTGATGGGCCAATGACAGTGCTGGATGGAGCTGACCACCACCTTCCCCTTGTCCACTTTGTCTTGTTTCTAGAAAGAACAACAATCCTGATTTATGTGTTAACTGGTCATGCGATCAAAATCTACACTGAGGGCTCAGATATGCAAGTGCAACTCGTATACATGTCCTGATTTTCATAGCTACTGCCCAGGCATCTGGCAGTGGAATATATATGGGAGCACTATATGAATCAGATCTAACAAATGTAGAGCTCAGAAATCATATGTTATATGATACTGAATCAGATTATTGGTCTATCTAAATAAATGCTTGCAGCTCTGGCAAACAGAGACTCTCCAAGTTCAAGCAGAGCCCTCTTCCCCTGCTCCTTGTTATCTAGAAATGCCAGGAACTGAATGTGGGGTCATATTTATGCGTTGGTCAGAGTTCTATCCTACCTTTCTTTTAAGGCCTACATGATCCTCTGGAAGAACCCTAGGATGCAGGATAGACTCAGAGCTAATGACTGGCCCAAAGATTTCATGTCAGCTTCATGGCCAAACGGGGACTAAAACCTGGGTCTCCCCAGCCCCAGTCCAGCATTCCAACCACAACACCACATGAACGCCACCAGAACTATTTCCCTCTCCAGTTGTGCTTAGTGGGTCCGATTCCTGTGACTTTTTTCTTAGTTTGGGTACATTTGATCAGCCTATATGTTGGATGGCTGGGTGTGTGAGCTCTTTGTAGCTTAAGGCAAATGCAGCACAACAGGAAAAGGAAGAATATATAAGTAGGGTAGAAGAAGGAAATGTAGGAGAGGAAAGATTTGCATAGGTCAAGAAAGGGCAGTGAAACATCTGTTTGTGGTAGCTGACATGTGTCAATTTTCAGTGCTCATTAAATTCGTATTAATGCTGAACTCTTCTTAAGCTCCAAATGCACCTCATGGCTGCTGTACTCTCAAGTAGAGTAGTGATGACTTTTCAGAACTGTGCCATGCTTGTTTACTTGCCAGTGGCATCTGACCTGGGGTCAGGATTCTATTTAACCCTCCCTTGTAGGTCAAAAGACAAATTAATCTGGTGAGAATTGAATTGGAAATGAGGTGTTTGAATAACAGGTGTCCCATTAGCAGCCTAGCTGCCAGGCTGAAACATGTATGTGTTCCCCACCTCCCATCCTTTTGCTGGCCATAAAGATGCCTCTGGGGACAAGAAGTCTGACTTGAGACATCTGAGATGGAAAGTTGCTGCAGGGAATAGAAAGGAACAGGTGATTCTTTCAAGAATATCTTGGGGATTTTTGAAATATACTGTTGTTACGCTTCTGTTTCAGTATCTTCGAAAGCTATTGTCCTCTACTTCAGCAGACAAAAAGGAACAATCCTGTTCTGAAAACATCTTATCTACATGCATGGAGCAGAAGGAACAACTCAATCTCTTGCAGCTTTCTTCAGAAGTAGAACCTCTGATTCCCTAAATACCTTTCTGCTACATGGGATAAATGGGATTATAGATTGAGGATGGCTATTTTCTTTGAACCTGCCACATATGACTGGTTGTTTTTCTGATGATGATAATTTTCCATGTGACACATGCAGCTGTTGTGTGATAAAGCATAAATCCAGAGGTCTCGGGGCATGTATCAGTAGTTGCATAGGCACTGCTGGAGCTGCCATGCGCTAATATTGGCACCATTGACTCAGTTACTCCTCAGAATCTAGACATCCTTCCAAAATGTTTGCGTTCTCCTGGTTTCCCTGTTTTAGTCTGTATTTTTTTTCCAAGTGCTGGTTTGCAGTGCTTCTAGAGTATGCAGTGTGGACTTTCAGATGTGACTTGATCTAGCGCTCTTGTCTAGCCCATTTTAGTTATTTAATGTAGTTGGTGACACTTTCTGTTCCTGGGGAGATTTGCAGAACCCTTCTGACGTGCCAGAATAACCCAGAAGAGTGGCCCTGGGGCAACTTGGGATCCCTGTCCGTGCTGCAGATGTGTCATGACTGAGGGTCACCGGAAAAAAATGTTCTGGCTGCCAGCCAACTATTCAGCCAGTGTGAGAAATGGGCTTTCCATGTATAGAAATGATCTTAATAGAACTCTTCATTATTTTAACAGAATATTTGCTTGTGAAAGCATGTTGATACTTTTTTTTGAGGGGTGTGCCTGAACTAGTGAGTGTGAAAATTAACCACATTCTGATCAGTGCAGGGGATGTGGATAAGATCAATTCATCACAGAATTCAGAAAGATTGAATTCCTCAAACACCTCTAAGCATGCCTAAGATTCCTCTGGAAGACTGATTCACCTAGTTAAGATGCAAAGAAAGATAAGCCAAGTGAAAACGAGAAGCCACCAAATAAACGGAATACAACTCATACTTAAAGACACATCTAAATATTTAGTCTAAACATCACTATCATGAGCTGGTTCCTCTCCCCTCCCCACAACTTCTCTCCTTTTCCCTTCCCAGCAAATTCCAGCTTCTAACCATAGTCTTTTATTATGCTAAACTGGCTACTCAGAGCTAGCTTTTGAATACAGACTGAGTAATTTGAAGATTGTTAGCAAGAAGTATCCATCATGTTAATGATCCTTCTAACTGTATCATTAGTTCTGTTCATTCTAAAAGTTGAATTACTGAATCTAACTGAATTACCCTCCTCCTTTTCCCACCAAACAGAGTTAGCTCCATCCTCAAGGAGCAAGTCAATGGGAACGCTGAATATAAATTATCTGGTCTGCTCTTTTGACTTGATGTGGGATCTCTGGGCTGTTATAGCCTCCTTCTCTGACCTATCATGTTTCACAATGTCTACCTCCTAACCAGGGACATTCTCACCACCAACTTAGCTTATCTTGCAGCTCACTGGACCTGATAATTCAGCTGGACCTTCTGACCCTTCTCATTCTTTCGGTTCAGCTCCAGAGTCTGAAGTGTCCACCTTGGAATGCTGTATTTTGGGAGAAGAGAGCTCCATCTCTACAATCATCTACATGTTCTGCACTATTAAATGCTGCAGCACTTATTAAATATACAGAGTTGCTAAGTTTTTATCAAGTTAGTTGGTTGTGCCAACATGATGCTGAAGAAAAATTAGTCATATTTCTAATTTCTTTTTCTAGAGGATGAGGAGGATGAGGAACTGGTTGAACCAAAAGCAGAGAATGACTCAGAGATTGAAATTCAAGAAAAGCAGCAAGACATGAAGGAAGGTATGTAAATACAGATGTTATTCAAGCTTAAGTATCCAAGTTTACAAATAAGTATTAAGCAACATCTCCTAAAGCAAGCTGACTATTTTGGTGGGGAATACAAATGGTTGCATGTCACAACATCCCCTGACAATTGTGGGTTGGTTGTTTTGTAAAGAATCCATGGTGTGCCTCCCAGGGGACCCTGCAAGAGGACCAAGCCAGGTCTCCCTCCTCATCATGATTAAGTTCTCCCACACTTTCTTGCACTTCAAACTTTTTTCTCCAGAGATTGAGAAATTTGGCTAGGCAGCTAACTTTTGCAATTTCTGTTTTGACAACCACAGACGGCTTATTCAAGTGCTCAAGCAACACTTTGGAGGGGTTGTCTGTGACTGGCAAAACCTTTAGAATAAATGTGTAAATAAACATGTGTGTGTGTTTACAAATTATTTTGCTTGCATGTACACAACTGTGGACATTCACAGAGTGAAAATTTGAAACCTTAGCTGGGGAAATGTCCGGGAGGCACCTGCTGCCAAGCTGCAGTTGGTATAAAACCTAGACATCACCTCCAATGCTCTTTTCCCCCTTTGGGTTCTCTTGACAGTGTCAAAATGCAAGCGGTTAAGAGAAAAAAAAGTGCAGGTGATCTTTGCTCGCTAAAAGGGGCTGGCCTGATTTGCACCTCTTTTAGGACAAGATCCGCAACCATTTTTTCACCCTGTCTCCTCAGAGTGGTGCACATTGGGCAGTTTTTTCCTGAGACTCTAGCTGCTCATGAAAGTTAAAAAGTTATTTCCAAACCCCCTTTATCTAGGGAAAAGAAAGCTAGTCGTCAGAATTCTAGGACCTTTTCCAAGTGGGGAGAGGAAAGTTGAGACGTAGGGGCAAGCGTTTTTTATTTTTTTAAAAGACTGGGACATATACACCCCTATGTCTCAGTTGAAAACCACCCATTGTTTTGTCAAAGCCACCTACTGGCCTTCCCAGTGCACTTTCACAAGCTCTGAGAAAAAGTGATATGAAAAAAAGAAGCTACAGAGAACTAAAAACCAGTGCCAGCCATCCCAGAGTTCTGCCTGGATACTTGTGGGACAGTTAACTGTGCTTGCAGTGGCCGGGCTTAGCTCTGGAAGAGCAGCAAGAGATTTTTCTTACTATTGCTAAGTGAGTTACTAGCCTCCAGTCTTTATCCATTATGGGTTGGTCATTTGGTTTCAGATGATATGACAACCTACTGTGGGTAAAACAAACCATATTACAGGCAGTGGGTTCCCAGGGTTGCTTGTTTGAGGGGGGAAAAGCCACTGTTGGTAAACCAGATTAGGTTCTGATAATACCACAACCAACCATGGCTTGCTGCCTATGATGGGCTGTTATGTTATTCAAAGCAGGCCACTGGGTCAGTGAGGGTACAAAGCTTTACCTATTAGCAGTTAATGAAGCTGAAATTACCTTGATTTTTAGGTTTTGCTTCTTTGGTATTAGGTAGCCTGTGACTTCTGCACAGTTTTAGCTTTTTGACTAAAAATAGGTGATCTAGATTTCTGTAAATCGTAAGACATTGTTTGACCTCTGAATTTTTTACTAATTCATGGTTATAAGACTGGCTATCAGGCAGGCACATTTGACCATTGGAGACTATGGATGGAGCATAGCTCAGGAGCAGAGCACCTGCTTTGTACATAAAAATTCCCAGGATTAGTCCCTGATACCTTCAGTTAAAAAAAAGGCTGAGGTAGCAGACAATGTGAAAGGCCATGGGCTTAGGTTCTGAACAGCCACTACCAGTTGGACTAAGCTGAATGGATAGATAGATCTGTTCCCACATGATGATAATCCATGAGTCAGGTTATTAAATTTCAGGTTGCTGTGATGTAATATGCAAATATGGCTGCTATAAACCATGGAATAAACCATGGCTTGTTGTTGGGTTGTGAACTCTGGGTTGTTTAAATCATAGTTTGCTCCTGTCTGCATACCCAGAACTGTGGGATGTTCACAGGATGTTTCACCCAGGGTTGAAGCAAACCCTGTTGAAATCTGTTCCTCCAAGCATTCACAGGCTTTCTCTTGTGCTCAGTCTGGTCTTCCAAAGCAAGCTGAGCTAAGAGGAAGTTTGCAAATGCTCACAGACCCCCAGTTGCACAACCAACAGCAACTTTATTCCACATCAGTCAAAAGGTGTCTGCAGCTGGTGTGAAAGAAGGATGCTGCTTGTGCAGCGGTTGCAAGGGGTTTGCCGGGAAAGCAGCCCTGCTCTCCTGCCAAGCCCTTCAGAACCTGTCTTCTTCAGTGCCTCTTGCAGCCACTCAGACAACCCTTGCTCCCCAGCAGCTGCTTGCACAGTGCCTGTGCCTCGATTCTTGGCAGGCGTGGATACCAGCCTATGAATGTTGGGCACACTTTCCAGGAACTCAGTCTCTGGGTCTCTACAAAGCAACTCAGAGCCTGGGGAGCTGAGCCCATGGAATCTGACAGATTCCCACCCCCCAGACAAATTCCTCACACCTCCTTAGTTTTACCAGACCTCACAGGCAGCAGGCAAGAGTGGTCAAAACCCACAGCTGCTCCACCTGCTAGTACTACGGCATTGCAAAGGCATTTGGGATACAAAGCAGGAGTCAGCATAGCTGTGTTTTGTTCCCTATGTACAGCAACAAACCATGGATTAAACAAACCATTGTGTGTGAATGTCTGAACTGATGTAAAGCAGCTTCATATACTCCAGATTTTGCCTTCAGCAGTAACAGCTGTGAGTGTTAGTAAGTCCAGTTCCAACCAAATGCGCCTTTAGTAGGTTCTGCTCACCTGAGCACATCCTTTGCTGTCAGCAGGCCAGGCAAATGGGCTTAGAAAAAAGCAAGAACAATATTGTTGTATGCCATATTAGTTGTTTAATTTTGTTTGAGATTTGTGTCATGTTTCCTCTCATCACCACATAAAAGCAGCCCTTATTCAGTTATCTCTGGAAGGCGACGTTGTGGATTATGTATGAATATTTTAAAAAGCCAAACTAAATAGACTCCCGAAAGATATATATTTATTTTAGTTTTTCACATGCTTGCAAGTGAGCCTTTTGTATACTTTTGTTGTTGCATTTGAAGGAGAGCCATAACTAACATCTTTTATTTCTTTGTTATAGTTTAGTCTAGCAGAAGGGCTTTGTGTTGCCACTGGCTCCTCTTCTTGTCTAGTCAAGCCAGGTTTTGGGCAAATGGTAGCTTTGTGGGGTTTTCTGGTAGTAACAGTTTTGGAGACACTCAGACCACAGAATTCAAAAGGAAGTATAGTAGTTGACTCGGATACAACTCCTAAGGGTGTTAATATGTCAGGAGTGGAATGAAAAAAAAATGAATTGAAACTGACAGCATTACATTGAAAAGATATTTTGCCTCTGAGATGCCACAGGAGAAATACTAAAGCTGCATGAATTGCAGCTTTTCTAACAAAATTATCACAAATTAATTAGAACCAGGTTTCATCTGGCTCCTGTGATCAAGGTTTGTGCTCAGTCCTGGACACAGGGATCAAAGAACATGAAAAGCATATCTCCAAGCATACATAGAGTGCTTTTCTTTCATAACCATGTAATTTCAACCCTATGCATTTAGAACTATTGGAAAAGTAATCAAGTTACATAATCCTGGAACTTGAGAATCCGTTCTGGTGCATTTTGACTCTGAAGTGCCTTCCAATGAGGTTAAAGGAACTTAGTCACAAAAAAGTGTGAATAGGACTGCTTCTTGAGTATATAAAACAATTTTGAGAAAATGGAGATACGGGAGTCTTCTTTACTATGATTTTTCTCTCTCCTTTTATTTTTCTCACATAATCATATTTGACCCACCTCCTCTGATCCTTTCCTTTTCTGAGTTTGTAACCCTTATGTCTACTTCATGGAAGTAATTAAAAACATGTTAGAGGCAAAACAAGAATTTAGACTAACATTTCCTGTTGGTTCTTGGTTCTACAATGCTTATTCAGAATTAAGAGCTTTCCTTCAAATTAGGTTATAATGGGTTAAATGCATGTTTATATTGGCATAAAGTGCTCTGGCTTCTTTTCTTTTTTCATGCAAAGTGAGACAGTATTTTCCCCCTCCCCAACTTTTAAAGAATCTCTAATAGATATTATAGGGGCGCCATTCACACTTCTGTGTTGCAGTCAAAGTCTGTGTCAGCACTTCCATTATGGATCTTGTTTTTCAAGGATTTTATAACCCAGCCATAAAAATTTGCTCTGGGCTAAAACTGCTCATAGCTCAGGGAGCTGAACTTTTGCTTCACTTAAAGAACCTTGGACTTTTTGAGTCATATCAGCACATGATTTTAAAAAGTAATGCAAATAAAAGTGCTAAAGATGCAATTAAAAGTTGCTATTTGCTTTTTAAAAATGAAGTAATATTTAGAAGTACATTAGAACTCACAGGCTATTCTGTCCAGTCAATATATTACTCTAACAAACTTCTAAATTAATTAAAAGCTTTATAAGATATGCCATGGGGAAAATGAATCAGATATGAGAAGGGGGAGATGAATCAACAATTCACATTTAATTTTACCAAGCAAGTAGGCAGTTTCAGGTCTTTGCCTTTTTTTTTTTTTTTTTTAAAGAAAGACTTCATGTTTCTAGGTACCCAGAAACATGTTTCCTTTGTCTGGGCATAGTAACATTCAGATGCAGCCCTATGTATAAGCCCCAGGTACTGCAGTATACTTCCAAGGAACCAGTAATAGGATTGCCCAGTTTGTATTCCAGCTAGGGCAGGTCTAAACATTGCACTTATGATGTTGTTAAAGGCTAATGTAGAAAGTAAGGTGTAATGGAATGTGTAGACGGGACGTGGCTGTAGGCTTAGATATTACTGAATCAGGGGAGGGGGTTATGTGGGATTAACATAAGAAGATAGGAAGAGCCCTGGTAGGTCCGACTGATCTCATCCAGCATTGTCTACTTAGTGGACAATCAGATGCCTGTGGGAAACCATAAAGCAGGATGTAAGTTCAACAGCAGCTAGTCTGAGAAGACACACAAGCAGTGACAAGCTGATAATCACTGTGTGGCAGATGAAAGAACCCGGAAGCTTTTGTAGGGGACAGACAAGACTGTATTGACTGAACTATCTCCTTTTCTCTGTATGTTGCTCGTGGTAGCGGCCAGGCTGTTTCACAGTACCTTGAGATTGGTCACTAAACCCACAGCCAAAGTAACACTGAAATGATTAAAAATAAGAACCTAAAGGTGTTATAAAGGACCAGAGGTCAATCAGATTGAGAATCTGTGACAAGACTTAAAAGTCATTGTTCACTAGCAGTCCCCATCCAACCTGACAGAGCTGAGTAGTTTTAGCAGGAAGATGCACATACACGGCAAAATCTAGATACAAAGCTAACAGAGGCTTCCTCAAGATTTGCAGCTCTAATTGCTGCCAAAGGTGCTTCTACAACATAATAACTCAGGGGGATGAATAGTTATGCAACCAACATGTGTCAGTTTGTTTTTGTTGACTTAACTTTTGTGTCAAAATAAAAATATTTTGCATCTTCACAGATAAGTAGCTTGTGTACATCAAGTGGTAGCAGTGCCAATTAAATCCATTTCAGTTCCAGTCTGTAAAACAACAGAATGCGAAAAAGTCAAGCAGGAGCGGTGTGCGTGAATACTTCTGCAAGACATTTTATCTGCATGAAGTAGATTATAAAATCGCTGATAAAAAGGGCTGATCCTCCCATTGGGCCGGTGGTGTGCTGCTCTGGCTGTAAAAGTGGTCTTGAGCAACGTGCTGTGGTTCACCATACCTACCGGTCCAAAGAGCCCCTGCTGTCCAGCTGTCAAAACCATTGCCAGTGTATAAGTGTGGCAACAGAAGGAAAGCTTAGAATTCATTGTCTGGGTAGGATTCATGGATCAAAGCTTTGTGGTGAAATGCCTATGTCTAGGTCTGTCTCTAGTCTGCGCAAGAAACAAACCTCACAAAATACCAAGTGTCCCTAAGGACTGTGCTTATTTCTAAGGTTGCCCCAACTATATGAATAATACATCTTCACTCTTGTTGCTGGCTTTTAATAATTTTGGTTCCTATGTTTATCCTAGATTTTCTTCCCTTGATAAAGGTCTGGAACTAAAGCGTCCTGTGAGTGGAAAGTACTTTTGGTCACCTATTGGGAAAAGGAGACGATTTCTTTAAGGTTTTCCTTGGCTGAGGAACTTGTGTTTCTTACACACTAGTATGGAAGGTTCTCAAACCATCGGGAGTGGTTTTTCGGGAAGGGGCTTCAAGGGAAAGGAAACCCTAAAATTCACAGAACATTGTGCTCACTTCTTGGGATCTAAGCCAAGTGTATTCCCCTCCCCCACTTTTGCAAGATTAAAGGCAAAATCCAGTGGGACACTTATGCCCCTATCGAGAGATTTAGTGCTTCCTAAGGGAAGCCTGGAGCTCCACCAACCCGTTTCCTTTCAGAAACAAGTGTTTTCACTTATTTTGGATTGCCACAGAAGCACTAAATCTCTATTGTACAAGTGGTGGAGGCCCCTTGTGGAATGGAATTGGCCGGGGCATAAGAAAACCAGAGGCAGCATAAACACCATGTTTCATTCTGCCCATAGGGGGCTTTTAACCAAGGCTTTTGTTGTGCAATCACCCTGCCTCAGTCATAGTCTTGCACAGGGCTTTCAGATGTCCATAACTTTTTGTAACCTTCCTGTGCTTCCCTGCTGCTTCTAATGTCTTTGTTACTACAGAAAATCCCTGAAATATGGGAAAGCAGAATAGCTGCACCACGTCTTCTGCTTGGTAGTTCAAAGAACCCTCAGTCAGGAAACACCCATGAGCCCAGTTCACACTTCTCTGGGTTGTTTATCATGACATCTGAACCTTGAACCAGAGATTGTTTTTCTGTGCGTGCAGAAGGTGGGTTGGGGTGTGGGCAAACTACCCAGACTTGTAACACCCTGTCCAGGTTGTTCTTCCATCAACAACTTCCAATTCTGGGTCCAGACATCACCTATAAACAACAAGCAACAGAGTGTCCCTAAGTTATTTAATGCAGAGAGGGTGGGCAGATGGATAGAAACCTGCAAGCTGGACTGCTCTTGCTTCACTATCAAAAATGATGGTTAACACAATTGTTTAACACAACAGCAACCAGGTGAAGAACTATCTTCAGAATGAGATCTTCAGTATAATGTATATTTTGGTTTAGCATAATGTAGCACTGCTATTTTTAAGGGCTACATATTAGGCAAAGCTTTTGACTTTCTATCTCATTTAATTTTTGGTGCACTAAGATAATTACGTTTTCTTCTTTAAGTGTAACAAATAGTTCATTGTGGTTTCTGGTTACATGTTATGCAGCTATTGCTCCTTTGAAATAAAAGACTATCTTGTGTAAAGCCCCATAGACTTCAGATTAAGCCTGGAATTGTGTGCACACTCATCCAGGAGCAAATCCTAATGCACACAATGGGACTTGCTTCTGAGTGATCATGCATAGGATGTCACTGACCCCATCACCTTGCAAATGTTGTAATATTGGCCACTGGGTATATGATGAATCCTATGTTCCCTTGGTTGTTTCACAAGGCAAGTCAGTAAATCTAAGTTTCTTGGAACTTGAGGAATGGGGGAGACGGTATGAAAACTGACATTAAGTGGCACCGCTTTTGTACTCTTACTTCTAAATGGAAAGTATCCAAAATAACACCAAAGTAATATTTGTAGAAGGAACTCTCAATGACGTACAATAGCTTTCACTTACACCAGGGCTGAATGTTAGGTAATAGGGAAAGGAGGGCAAAAACGAAGGATGGAGAGGAAAAGGTGTTTTCCGAAATCCTGGAACTGTTGGAAGATTACCTTCAAACAATTGATTGTACACTCAGCCTTGCAAAGTGCAGGCTACCCCCCGTTATGCCCATTCCTGCTCCTCTTCCTCTTCTGTCCCCCTCCCCCTCCCTCCTTCTTTCTTAACATTCATTATAAATGAGCATCCTGAAGAAATAGAAAGCTTGCATTCAGTACTGCAATATTTTAGTTGGCACTAATATAGGATTACTCTACTGCTACTTTTGGATTCCCCCCACCCCCCATGGACAAATATGGTTTCCTGCATTTTTTATTTGTTGAACCTGTATGCGTCTATGATCAGAGCATGTGTTCTGTCCCTAATCCAACAACCTACAAGTGCTTCTGGCCCTCATGATCATGGCCTATACCTTGATACTAAGAAACCTCCTTAGTATGGTAGATCAACCTTGCATTTTGTCAAGCTGAGACTATTTTAGTTCTTTTTTTTTAAAACTGTGATTGAACATGTTCTCCCTGTTAAAAGAGCACTTAAGACTGCTTCTTTGTGAAACAAGTTTTAATGCTTTTCCAAGTTCAGCTTTGCAATAAGCATCAGTCAAAGTGTTTCCTGAAATCTGAACATGAGGTTTATTTTATTTTGGATCTTAAGTATTTTCTTCTACAGAATAATAAATATGCAAGATATAGAATACCTTCTATATAGAGGCCACATTCTACAACTATGTAGTAATACATTTAGAAGATTCAAAAATAATTCTTTAGAAGGAAACAAACCATTCAATCCTACCAGTGTTGTTATGACTTGCACAGGAAAATTTCTTTTCTTTCCTGAAGAGTTTGATTCAGCTGGAAATATTTAAATACATGTATGTTTAATGCTGCCAATATACTTTTGTAAGCTCCTCCAAGGGAACTAACAGAAGAAGAGAAGCAACAGATTCTCCACTCAGAAGAGTTCCTTATATTTTTTGACCGGACAATACGTGTGATCGAGCGAGCTCTAGCTGAAGATTCTGATATTTTCTTTGACTACAGTGGCCGAGATGTAGAAGAGAAAGATGGGTCAGTTTTCTTTCCTTCTGTTTTGTAATCAAATAAATAAATAAATAAATAAATAAAATAATCACGTGTGACCAGTAGATGGGCAAACTCCAGTAATTCATACATTTTATTTGACTTGTCAACTTTCCTTATCAGATTAACAGTGCAATCCTATACATGCCTACTAGGAAGTAAATTCCATTGAGTGAATTCCAGTGCAGCTTATTCCCAGCAAAATGGGCATAAAATTGTAGCCTGAGTGAAGAAATACCTTCCACTGTATCCTATTTTTTTAAAAAGTGACTTTTCCAGGTTCTTGATTGCCCTTATCTGGCAATATTCTGTTTACTGTCCTTGAAATAGAGACAGTTACATTGCAAATGCTAATGCAGGTGCTGACCATATTAATTTAATCCTCCAGACATAGACTTAATTACAGTAGGACATGGGAGTACAGTCTCTACACATGGCAGACAGCCACAGATATGCTTAAGCTTTGTTCCAAATCTTCTCTAGCAATCATGTAAATGAAGCAAATGAGATGGACCACTCTGGAAGAAGATGGGCAAAGGCCAGAGTTCATATCCTCTTTGAGACCAAAGCTGCTAGCCATGTTTGTTGCTGTTCTGAATTATAGCATAGCAAGGTGTGCATGATAAATAGCTCTTACGTTCTGCAAATCAAATAAGTACATTACTTCCATTCTTTGCAATCTTTCTTCTGAAAGTTCTCATGCAAGCTGATTTAATGTTATACTGTATTGTTATACTGCAGAGAGCTTGATCCTTAATCCAAACCTGGGCCCTACTCTGTAACCTGTTTTAATGCTGAATCTCCACCCCAAAATGTGTGTGGTAGAATGCTGATGTTTAAGATATCAGATGCAAAGGAGGTAATATTTTGGAGAGACAGCTGCTCTCCCTTGCTGTCGTCCCTGACACTCTAACTACATTTTGTGGGCCAATCAATGAATTCCACAGCATGGAACATTTTTCTGGGTATTTCTTGACTCTGGCCTAATATCTGTATAAGGAACAATGAATGGAGAGGCAACCATGGAGGTGTTTTAAGATGCCTGAAGTCACTTGAATCTTTCTTTAGCCTGTGCCAATTCTTCTCCATGTCTAATTTACATGGATTTGTATCTGTTTGGGTCATTTATAATGTGAGTATCCACAGTTTCCGGGTTGCCCCATGCTGTACTAATTCCTAATTAGATAGGAAACATCAGGCCAAATAAGGGGAAAGGAGGGTGAGGAAGGGCAGAGATTACACACTTGATATTCTCTAAGACACTAACTAAGAATATGTCACAGGAGAAAGAAATGATCAGAATTCTCTACTGTGTATATTAATATTGTGAATCTGTTTTGTAAAGTATGACTAAACTAATTCTGGTTCAAATCCATGTAGAGATGTTCAAGCTGGAGCCAACCTTTCCTTTAACCGTCAGTTCTATGATGAGCACTGGTCTAAGCATCGGGTTGTCACTTGTATGGACTGGTCCCTTCAGGTAAGACTTACTGTTCAGAAAGGCACTTAGATATACTGGCCAGGATCCAAAATGCAGTGTTACTAGTTCCAAGAAGTTGGACTTGCACTTCTGGAATAGCAACACCCAACACTGCAAATGCATTGTGGCATTTGGGCAATCTGTGATAACAGTTCAAAGGGGAAAAAAGGTGGACTAACTGAAAACCGTCAGGTATACCCAAAGTAGTACTGAAATATGAGGTGGACCATAGCAGGGATGGAGACCTCAGGGCACAGGTGGGATAGTGTGACGGGTCACTCTTCTCTCTCCTTAGTAGTCAGAGATAAGAGGGTATTTAAAAGCAATTAAGCTTGAAATATTTCATAAAATATTGAGCTGTGCATTTTGTAAGTATGAGAGTGGTTGCCCTGAGGAGACTTGTTTAGAGCTGTCTTTTGAATGCCACTTCAGCCATGCCTACTTTGCTTTTGTGGTCCCTGGTCCCTGCTGCATGCCCTTTGCTCTGACCACTGTGGCCATGTGGTCCCTAAGATGCTTCCCAACTTTGAATTCTGGCCTTGGGGCAGAAGAAATTTGACCCCTGGCTTTGGGTAGAGTGCATGTGAATAGTCCTAGTATCTCCAGTTTTTAAAAGATCAGGTAATCAGTAATGTGAAAGACCTCTGCCAGAGAGTCAGGGTCAGAGTGCTAGAAAAATAGCCTGACCTACTATAAGGCAGCTTCCGAGGTTAAGAGTAGATACCACCATTCATGGGATATTAAGTGTCAATTAGTTTGGGCCCTGACTAAAGGCACAATCCTTTGTTGCTGTGGCATGCTGGGAATTGTAGGCCATTTTTCTGTCTGAACTTGCACTCTGAAAAACTCAAATTTGAAGCTCGCTCGAGGGAGATAACAGAGATCTTGAAATCCATATATATTCATGGCTTATAAACCCAACTTTGTTTCAAGGGAGGTTTTGCATCCATGTATTTTAATCAAATCCATTTTGCAACAGGTATGCTTTGGCATGTGGGTGGCCAGTAGGTCTATGTAGATTTGCTCCGAAATGGGAAACAAGCCTGAGGAAACACTTATCTTAGGCTGTTCAAGGAGCTGGAAATGACATGGAATTTTTATCTGATCGCTTTTTAACAAGCAGAGTTTACAGTATTCCCGGGGAAAGCGAGATAAAGTTGACTTGGAAGGCAACTGCCAAAATGTAATTGTTCACTGCCTCAGGCTTCCAAGCATGTTCTGTCTCCCATTTCTCTGTGCTGGGGTGGCCCTGTCTCACCTTCCCTTCTTACAGACTCTTATCTTTTTTGGACTGTAAGCCTTAGGTACTCTCACTGTCTCTGCACATTACATCCAAGGGAGCACGGTGACCTCCAGCCTCCATGCATGGCACATGCACTGCAAAAGAGAACTAAGCAGGGCACCTCGTAGTACACTGTGATACTTTACGTTTGTACAGTTTACTAAGTAATGGGATTAAGGCAAGGCAAGCAGCACACTTGAATCTTGCATCAACCAGGATGGTAGAGAGGATCCATGCTCGCTGTGGCTCAACATCAGTTACAAATGAGAAAACTCCAGAAAAGTATTTGCAGGCCTGGCAATAGCAGACAACACCATGGGCAGCTGCCAGGGGCCACTGCTGGGCTGCAGCTGCTTTGTCCCCCATGCTAAAGCGAGGCTTGCTTGGGAATCAGTTTGTCATTGAGATTGCCCACAGTATCCCACTGGAAGATCACTCCACTTGACCTGGTACTCGTATTGGCAGGCATTTGCCACCAGGCAAGCCCTGTGAAGCTGACCTCATGAGGGCTTCCTCATATTTACCAAGGGCCCCCTCATACCTGATCCCAACCTTGTCTATTTCCACAGCAACCATGCAGGTTTTGGCAGAACTGGAGGACAATGCTGAAATGTTATCTATATTATAAGCAGAAAAGCTAGATAAATTGTGGTAGCGGTGGTATGGTTATTCAGTCTATAGACAGAAAACAATGAAAAAGAATTATACACATATATGTGTGTACTTTCATTATGGCAGGTTTCTTCTGCTTCTAATAGTTGGGTGACAAAAAGGTAAAGCAAGCTAAATGTGTGTTTGTTATGCAGCTGCCAAAAGCACAAGAGCTTTTCCAGAAAAAAGTTGGCAAACTTCATATCAAATGAAAGGCATAGTTTAGATAGTATGATTCAAATAGTTTTTATTAACAACAGATGTCCAATATTACATGCTTATACTTTTTTTTTTTTTTTAAAGAAAAGCAACCTTCCCTTGGCCTGCCATTTCCAGCCCCCCTGCCCCAGCTAGCTTCCCAACCATGCTCCAGGACTCAAGATACATGTTTAGCATCTTTGTGGAAACATGTATAAATAAATACATGCCGGCCTCTCCCTGTTTTCATGTGCCTTCAGTGCTTTTTTCTGTTACTGGAGACTCAGCTATTTCGTTTTTAATCAGCGGTGTTTTACTCTGGTTTTTAACTTCTAGCTGTATTCTTTCATGTTCTGGTTTGTTATCTCCTGTTTATTCATAGTTTGTATTATTATTATTATTATTATTATTATTATAACATTTCTATGCTGCCCCTTGCCGAAACTTATTATAGTTTCATGGACTTTTACGTTTTAAACATAAGCCACCTTGTGGCTAGCAGGTCTTTGTGTGGAAGGTGTGGTAAAAACAGCATGAATGAATAAGTCTGGTACCTCGCCGCTCACTAGGTGGCCATGGCAACCCAGCAGTCTGCACAGCCGGTACAAGGACATCTCTCCAGCTTGCACAGCTTCCGTGCCTCAGAGGAAGGGCATCCCCTTCTTCCATGTCCATGTGGATTCTCGGGAGGCTGGCACACTCGTGTTTCCTCTGCTAGCCCTCTTGCCTGCTGCGCTGTCTGTGGGGGCTCATGGCTTCCGGGGGGCTTAGTAACAAGGCTGAACTAAAATGGCAAAGTGTGTCAGTGTTGATACCCTATTATATGCCGGGTGGTTGAGTTACATGGTATTTCAAGTCACGTTGCAAGTTGTCCTAAGGCAGGGTGAAGAACTTTTCAGCCTCAGGGCCAGAGTCAGTTTTGGAGATGCTCTTGAAGCCTGCATTCCAGTGATGGATGGGGCCAAAAGTACACCCTCCCACCTTCAGAGATACATTTTGGCCTTTTATACAAATTCTGCACAAAACTCTCACATGATCAGTGGTACAAAGTGATTGATGGCAGAACCACCAAAGGATTGATGGAGAGGGGCAAGGAGTCAGGGCACAGGCAAGGTGCGTGATCAACTGGGACCAGCCTGGGGCCTCAGGATCATCCAGATTTGACTTGCAGGCCTGAGGTTCCTCACCTCCCTTCTAAGAGCACCCTCGCTATTATTATTTAAATGACTTATCTACCACTTGCCATCATAAGTTCTGTAAGGAGTTTACATAATAAACCCGAAGTAAGTAAAAATGTAGTTACTAGGTACAGTGTTTTTCCTATTAGGTAATTTTAGGTACTTTGTAGTTATTAGGTGCAGTGGTCAGAATGATTCACATTTATGTATTTTATAAGGGGTGCAATTATGTATATGCTTTCCAACATAGAAACATGCTAGTCTTACTCCCAAGTGCACATGCTTACAAAGCAGTTTTGTAAGTTAGACTAGTATTATTTTTTAAATCTTTGTATCACTAATGAGAGAATACATTTTCATTATTTTCTTTTTTTGGCAGTACTTAGTTTCACTAGCCATTTCCTCAAAATTGGGCTTCTACTAAATTAAGCATTTAAATTCTTGTTTTAGAAAAAAACACACCAACAATGTTACAAACATAAGATCCACTGGAATTTGTTGGCTTCTTGGTGTTTTAGATTTCCTTTTTAATATTATTCACTTACTGTATGTGGTTTGCTCTGATCATTTTGAGAAATCCTGCATGTGTACATTTTTCTGCATTTTTTCCTTTACAGTACCCTGAGTTGATGGTTGCTTCATATAATAACAATGAAGATGCCCCACATGAACCCGACGGGGTGGCTTTGGTTTGGAACATGAAATTTAAGAAGACAACCCCCGAGTATGTTTTTCATTGCCAGGTAATTGAACATCAGCTGTCCATTTCATAAAAAGATGTGCTGAAAACTAGTGCGTGTTGCATCTGCCCACCATTCGGAAGAGGTTGGAGTTAAAAATAGAGCATTTTGGAAAGAGTACTAGGAACCACGCTAATGTTTTTAGAATACATACGGTCTTCTAAAAAAAACACAACATAGCCCAGTTGGAGACTGTGTGTCATTTTCTGTCTATTTTAAACAATCCTCAAGAGAGTTTGTTTATAAAAACCTCACACTTATGAAGTAAGTGTGGTGTACCACTTCCTCCTCCAACTGGCAACAGATGCTTTTCCACCCACGTAAATTTCCTTGTGTCCTCTATTCCAAAGCAGCCGGAGCTCTGCATAATATTGTTTAGAGTGATACTGGAGCTTTACCATACTTCGGCATAGAGAATATCTGTGAATACCCATTTTGCTGATAGCATTGTGATCACCATTAGAATTCTCCCGATTACTGTTTTAATAGCGGTTGCAGCACAGATGTCTCATCACCGTCACTCAGCAGTCTGGTCTGAACAACTGAGGCATGAAATCAAAAGGCATCAATGTAAAATGAAGGGTGTGTCTGCACTAGGTATTCGTCTCCAGATACCCCTGTCTCAAGAACAGATGGCACAATCTGCACCTAAAACCAGGTGCTCTCTCATTAAACAGACACTAAACAGATTTTGTAATAGGGGAAGGCAGTAGCTTGTTAAAGAGACACTAATTTCCCTGCTGTTTTCCTTTTCATCAGAACTCTGTCCCCTACAAACTTCATACTCAAGATTTATTTATTTTATTTTAGTAGATTCATACCCTGCTTTTCTTCCACCAGAGAATATGGGATTCCACAAGCCTGACCAGCCCCAGATCTATTTAGTTCTAGCTATACCTGAGACTGTGAACTAAAGTAAAGCCTAGGTTTATGGCCAGGTAGGCACTAGGCATTAGAAAGGCTTTCCAGCATCTTTCCTTGCAGTAAATCTGGTCACAAGGAAGAGCTCCAGTGCACCTCTAGGAATGGTGGTCGCTAAGTTCTCACCAGAACCCATCTATCAGATAATGGGATGTGATACTAGGCAATCTTCATTGGTTTCTGGTCTATTTCAAAGAACATGTCAAAGTACTCATTATAACCTGTGAAGCCCTAATATTCTGGGGCAAGGAAATGGAAACAGCTCTTCCCATCCTCATAAACCTGCCCATCCACTCAGAAGGTCAGTGGAGACACAACTGAAACATGGTACCCAGTGCAGCCCCTCTGTTGCCTCCCTCCCTGGAAAAAAAGCTTCCCCGGGGGTTGGGCAGATGCTTGCCAGATATTTTCCGATTCCTCCTCCCTCTGCATTCTCAGCAGTGCATTGGGATTTTGTGTAACAGCACCACTACTTCCATTGTGTGGAGTGCTCTACTGTGTTTAAGGAGGAAGAATCTGCATGGGCTACACAAGAGGTGCCACATAATTCCTAGGTTTGAGGTGCACAAAGCAACAATAACTAGAGACACTGGAACATGTCTTGGGAGACAAGAGCTTTTCATCTTTCTTTCTACACTTTTCCATAATATCAAAGTAAAGGCTGCAGTGTCTCTGTTATGGGGAAATAATGAGCTTGGCTTATATTGCAAATGTAGGGTTATCTTCATGTGAGGAGTGGCAAATGTGCAGGAGCCCATTTTGGAGACTAAAAAGAGCAAAGATGCAAAGGTGAATCACTCAGGATCATGGGAAGCTGCCTTGCCTGGAGTCAGCCATGGGTCCATTTGCCCTAGCGTTGTTGACACTGACTGGCAGTAGCTCCAGGATTCCAGGCAGAATTCTTCCCTAGTCCTGTCTTGCGATGCTGGGGTTCAAACCTGGGAACTTTTCTAGGCAAGGCATGTACTTTGCTCCTCAGCTGCAGCCTATCCTCCTTGATCATCCTGTTCCCTCAGTCAATGCACTCAGGACAAGACTACCTTCATGTACAGGTTTCAAATTAATTTGCATGGAAGAAAAAGCTTCTGTGAAGAGTTTATTTCTTTTTCTTTTTTTCCTGTGAGATTTCATCCACTACTTTAACACAAAAGTATCCGGTTACAGGAGCGGGAAGCTGCCTCAGAATAACGCAGCTGTTCGTGTTTGGTTAAAAAAGAATGGATTCAAGATACCATTCCATAATATAATACCAAATTCATTTCCGTCAATAACTTGTTCTCCATATTTCTGTTTCATATATTTAGAACTGACACTTAAATCTGCAGCTTTTAAACTGTCCTAAATGCCTGAGAAACTGGTGAAACATTCCTGTTTCTGTTGATATTCCAAGTCTGTATTTGCTTCTGCAAGTACTTGGGTAACTGATCTATTCTAAAATCAAGGTGTTCATTGCTCCAGTTAAGCTTGTTGAGACTACAAGGAGGAAGGATTCAGTGGATGGGGAATCATTTGAGGACTTTCTCATCTGTCACAGGAGTCAGCATTTTCATTATAGAAATACACTAAAATTATATGGTGTTTCAAACCACAGACAACCTGAATCTGAGAATGAACTGGATTTGAGAATGAACTCAGGACATATGATTGCAGGAAATGCTGTGTGACTTCTTTCAAAATATCTCCACTGATACCTTAAGTGCTCTTCCCTGGTGCATTTCTAGCTGGAACCATGTTTGAACCACTATATTACAAATGCAGGGATTAGCAGGAGGATAGAAGCTAGGTGGAATTTATTTTTCCTAATTGGTTAATCATAACCTCTGTGCTCCACAGAGTTGGCACATGTCTAGAGAACTTTTGCTTCATCTTCCAAATAAAGGCTGAGCTCACTTATTCAGATGGAATATTTTTTAAAAAAATCCAAGCCTTTAAGCTTACCTCAGAGTTTGGAAGGCAAGCAGGCTATGCTCAAGATTATCATGATGTCATTCTTTGGTTACTTAGTGGAAACCGACTATGTTATTATTTAGTCTAATATATATATATGATATGATATGATATGATATGATATGATATGATATATATATATATATATATATATGAGAAAATCCGCAAAGGAAATGTTCCCTAACCTGCATCCTGGACTCCTAGTGTTCACAGCATTTTTTTTAATCAACTGTGTCCAGTTTACAAAACCAATAACAATTGGTGGTAACCACTGAGTGGTAAATACTCGGCAAATCTAGATAAAAGCCAATGTTTTCATTGCAACTACTTTAAATAAACACAAACAAAACCACAGCTTTAGTTGCTTCTTTCCAAAAAGAAGTTAATGTGCAAAACAATCTTATACATATGTATTCAAAAGCAAGTCCTACTGAATTCAGTAAGACTTAGGGTTGTATGTATATGGCATGCATATGGTATATACGGTATATGATTTTATTTATTTATTTATTTATTTATTTATTTATTTATTAGGGGAACTTCTATGCCGTCCCATTCGCCGAAGCCTCGGGGCGGCTCACAACCATAAATAAATAGAATCCTATAAACCAATATAAATTAAGTCGCCCTGGCCAAAGAATAAAATAAATAAATAACATTAACAGTGAAAATAATGTTTGAAGAAAAAGGTCTTCGCCTGGCGCCGAAAAACAAATGACGGCGGCGCCAGGCGGACCTCTCTGGGGAGCGCATTCCATAGATTATGGTTATGTTTATATCCTTGTATGGTAAGTATGTATAACAGCTTTGCTCAAACTGGTACCCTCCTGATGTGTTCGACTACAACTTCCATCATCCCTAGTTGTGGCCCCACAGATCTGGAGGTTGCCAGGTTGGGCAAGGATTATATAGGACTGAAGATTTAACCTGACAAAGTGTTCAATTTTGTTGTCAAGATGCTTTCTTTATCAGTAAACTAATAGTGCTCTGCATCTTACTCTTCATTTTTAATTCTACCACTCCCATAATAGCCCTGGACTTAAATTATATATTTCTGGTACTGTGTTTTACTTGGTATCTTAATTCTAAGTATAAGTAGACAAAGTATGGGCCAGATGAGAGATAATAGATAAGACTGGACTCTTGGTCACAGTTCTGGTACTGCATCAAGAAAAAAGTTTGGATGGGTTCGATTTACATCTTAAAGGGGTTTGCGTTTTGTTTCAGTTGATTTGTACTCTGAAATTGAGCAGCTGCTTCTCACTTGGAGGAGCTATTGTGGCCACTTTTGACATTGGATGTAATGGCTGCATTGAGAATCAGTGGAATGCATTTGAAAATTAATAATTACTTTTGGTGCAATCCTATCCATGTTTAAACAGAAACTTGTCTTACAACTCCAAGCATTCCCCAGCCAGCATATAGGACTTATATTGTGCCTAAACTTGCATAGGATGGCACGTTTAAGACCTCCAAAGTGTATAGACTAACTTTCTATACACATTTCTGGAATCTTAAATGGCACTTTTTCTGTTATCCCACCTTTGTGTCTTAAGTTGGTATTGAGCAGGGCCTTTGCTGTGGCTCTACCTTCATTATAAAACCTGCTGGCCCTGCATCCCAATCATTGTGACTTCTTCCTTTTTCAAGTTGTATTTACTTAGTTTACCCTAATTCTATAGTTTGCCCAATAATTTGGATGTTCTGGACAGCTCATAAGAAAGAAAATAATAAAATACAATATTAAAATCTCACAGCATAACAAACAAAGAACAGCATAAACCCTTTTTAATCTTCACAGAAGGAATACTTTCTTTTTTGTTCTCCAGGTACTTTTAAAGAGCTCCATATTAGTTTGAATAGGTGATTTCCTTTTCATTTTCCTAATATTTCCTCTCTTAAGAAAATGGAAAAATTATGCAACTTTATTCTTTTATATAGTATTGTTAACAGAATTTATGTCCCACCTTTCTGCCTTAGTATGAGGTTACTCACAGCATGATCAGAAACAAATATAAAACAGTGAAAGAAGCGAAAAACTTTTTTTTCAAAATGCAGTGGAAAATATAAAGCAAATAGCAGCAAAAAATCAGGAACAAAAATCAAATACTCTACAGGAGAAATTATTGCCAGAA